ACTTTCTCCTTCACTATAGATATTTTCACGTCACTCTTAGCATACATCATTTTTCCAAAGTATTGCCACGAATCACTTGAAAAGTTTTTTCCTCTGGAAGTATCTATCGACATAAAATTCAAAGGAATTTTATTTTAATTCAAATTCGACATCGCGAAAGTCGTCGTGAATGGGAAACAAAACCTCAAAAATCAAATGCGTAACTGAGACGAGACCGATGCGCAGGATCTATAGGAGAGGCAGAAGGAAACTATAGTCGACTGTTTCATTAATCCGGTGTTCTCAACGGATCGAGAGAAAGATAGAGTCGGCTAGTATCCTTCTGCCTCATCTTAAATAAAACAGAATGTAAAACAATTACCATTAAATTTGCGGTACATTTCCGCATCCACGGTGGCTGCAAATTGGCGCAATTTTCGAATGATATCTTCCGAAATTTTCAAACTTTTTTCTACGATGGAAAGGCAAACTTCGTATTTTTACATTCTCACAACCAAGGCTGAAAAATCTCATTACAGCTAAAATGCAACTGAAACTGAAAATCGTCGGCGGCGGCGGCGCACAGGTCTAGTTGTAGCATATGCATTCCACATGTCGCCCATTCCCAGCTAGCAACCATATTTCTAAAATGAACCACACATCGTTCTCATGCCATCGAACTGATTATGCAACAAATGCGATGACTTCCCGCTGTTTCACAATAATTCTGACTTGACACCAAAAGTTTCAAGATCATATTTCACCTATTCAATGGTGCATTCAGCGCATCGTTGTCAAGCCTGAACTGCCTACTCCATATTCTCTCCCTTTTCCCATTCTCTCTCTCCCGTCAATAACGATCACTGATTAGTGATCGTTCACATAAGAATTTTTACATAACTAGCTTCAAGTACCTCCTGCAGGAAATCTGTAGTCATTGAATAGGAAACAAATTAATCACACTACACGGCGAATGAGAACGAATCAAATTTGAGTTTAGTTCACTCATAATCGCCAAAAGTGCAGGAACTCAGCGATGAGTAAAATTTGTCTCACGGTTTCCTGTGGAAAACCTAAAAAACCTGCCGGAAAATGAGGAAATTGACGAAAATTTTATTCAGTCTCGGAGTAGTACGAATGGACTGAGTGAATCCAATCTTTACTTTTCTCAAATTCGGGAATTTTTCCCTGAAAAATCCTGGAAAAACCTGGGAAAACATGAGGCAAATTAACTCATCGCTGAGTTCCTGCACTTTTGGCGATTATGAGTGAACTATTCGATTTGCACTTTTATTAGGATAAAACAACAGGTTGTAAGTACGCTTATACCACAGACAAACAGGCATAACACTTAGAAGAAAATTCTCCAAAAAATATCGTCAAGCGTATTTTGCATGCGCACTAGCACCAGCTATCATCCACTTTCCCAAGCATTGTTTTGCAACCGGAGTATCCCTCGTTCATGCAATTTTTTTCACTAGTTGCTTTTCCCTTGTTCTGTCAACGCGTCAGCTGTGTTGAATAAAAACAAAACAGATGGAAGTCAGTGATGTCGGTTCTACGAATTTTCCGAATTTGATTGAATTCTGCAGAAATACGGATCCGTAGGTAAAAATTCACAGAAGCTAAGACTTTTTTTTAGGGATTTGTTTGGTTTGTTAATTGTGCTTTTTCTTTTGCTGGAAACAAGTTTTTAAACAAGGTAATGCATGACTTATTAGTGCCCTTTCTAAATGTAGATGTATCAATGTAACATGATACATAATCAATGATATTCATGATGAAGTATTGAACATCAATAACTGGTAAAAGTTGATAGAATATTACAGTCATCAACATGATTTGTTCTCGAATTCTGAACTGAATGACTAATGTGCAGCAGTTTGATGCAATATTTAACAACTTTTTTTTTTGTATTCGTCAGATGTGGTATGTGTCTCCAGTCAGATGCATTGACCACTTATCATTTTCAAGTGCTGATATCTACTAACTAGACGTGAAAAAGAACTGGCATCACTGATAAGTTAGAAATGTGGTGGCTTGCTCAATGCTTCAGTGGCACCACCATGACAAATACAAGCACATTCCCAACTAAAACATTATTTGCGATGAATGTGATTGTGAGTGTTGTGTCTGTTTGTCTGTCAATTATTTTTTTCCATACGACGATTGGCACTCTTATGGAAGTTAGGTGTCGTATGTAACATTGAGGTATGTTTTGATCAGTTGGCACATACGGCAAATACTTTTTTGATGCGAAAATGAAACAGAAATGAGGTAGCGGGCCTAAATTTTGTCTTTAGGAAGAGTAGGCAGAGTATTGTCTGGCAGCATTAAAATGTCAATTTGTTAACATTTGTTACATACGACCTATTCACAAAATGCACTTCAGAACTATCAGTTGATTGACAGCTCTCTCACGAATGCACTTACACATAGACACTCTCTATAATATGAGAAAGAATGGATGCGTGCTTGCATAGTTTAATCCTCTCTTGGTGGTTACCGAATCGAGGATAAGTATTTAATCCAGATTTCCCAAAATCCGGATTAAATCGCGTATTATCCTCGATGGAGCTTACCGCTATCAAAGAAGTAACATCGTATGATTGACAAGAGAGATATATCACGGTCCCTGTCCCTGTAAGTGTAAATATTTCTCGCGTAACATTTGACAAGGGCCCTCGTTGATCGATTCTCTTCATCGACTTTCTCTTTGGTTTACCATGGCTATATAAACGAATTCTCGATGAACATTTCAAATGGTCCTATCTGCTTTGATCGATTCTCTTCATCGACTTTCTCTTTCGTTAATAACTCATCTGAAAAACCTTTCCCTGTTGTATTTGACGTTTTGGACGCTAGATAAGAACCTCCTTTATCAAACTATGTGGTAGAATTAGCGCGAAATCTATTTGCATAGCAGTGGTTATGACAAGAGAAAGTTGATGAAGAGAATCGATCAAAGCAGATATGACCATTTGAAATGTTCATCGAGAATTTCTCGCTTAACTCGCAGCGCAGTTGGACAGAAGATGACGTTAGCTTGCGCCTGAAACAACACATTCAATGGAAAATGCATTTGCAGTCGGGTTATTCGCGAAAGAGAAAATCGATGAAGAGAATCGATCAACAATGATAGGCCCTTTTCTCGTGTTGCGCGAGATTTCACCGTTCTACTGTACAACTTGAAAACAAACCAAACTTTTCCCAAATATTGATACTGAGTGATTTGTTGGGGAGAATACTATATTTCAAGGTTTATATAGGTATACTAAAGTCGCTATATTTATAGTTTGGCGGATAGAATTTCGATCTATCAAAAACCTTTGTAGCTGAACATTGCCTTAGGTCCTAAGTAACATTGATCGATTCTCTTCGTCGACTTTCTCTTTCGTTAATAACTTCAGCACATAACTGTTTCTTGTTGTGTTTGTCGTATTACGTGCTAGATAGAAGTTTCTTCTATCGATCTGTGTGCCGAAAATACCTGGGAATGTCTTTACATGGCCGTGAGGATACAAAGAGAAAGTCGACGAAGAGAATCTGTCAATGTTACTTAGGATCTAATGCAATGTTCAGCTTGCATTTAATTTATTGTAGACCAACAATTGAAAAGGTATTAACAACTTTTATAAACAAAACCTTGATAGTTCTTTCCTCGCCAATCGAACGCAAATTAACGGCATCTTCCGATAGAGGAAACTTTCCCCAATCCGATGATGGTGTTGGTTTGCGTAGGCAAGCCTTGAGTCACTGGAAAAGGTTTCCAAAGTTTTGTTCGCAAAAGTTGATGTGCTCTTTTCTGTTGTTGATCGTGCGTGATGTGCTCGATTGGTTATGCTACACTGAAAAAAGTTTTCACATAGTTTCTATTAGCAACGCACATAGTATTTTTTCAGTACCAAAAGTAATGATTTTTATCTGAATACAGTCAAATTTCGCTCGTTGGGCTATGTTTAGGTGGGCTACCGTTAGTTGGACTATAGCCCACCTAAATCGAAGTCAAACGTCAATTTTGACAGTGCAATTTATTTTTCGATGGGCTCATGTACGAATAATTGGGACAGTTGCTAAAGGATTGTGATGATAATAAACAATCGGTTGATAGCTCAGCCCAACTAACGAAAGTCTTTCACTAAGTGGACTACAGGTTTAGCCCAACGAGCGAAAGCTGACTGTATCATCACATGACATAATACAGTATATGTGATTAATCATGTAAATTTCATTGGACACATAAGATTCATGTCATGGATATTTTCCACCGGTTATGTGATTTATTTTATGAGTGTATTTGACAGCTCAATTGGTTACCGAGATTCGATCCGCCAGACTATAAATATAGCGACTATAGAACAGACATTCTTAACCCTTTTTATGCGTGGGGATAAATCTTTCAAAATTCGAATCAACTGCCTACGTGAGCTCAATCGTCGTAATCCGCAAGCTTCCCAACACTGTTCCCGCTATCTTCGATCGAACCCCCGCAACGATGCGTAGCACACTCGAAAAGTGATTGTCAACACTGGCTTGTTAATTGTCACCGGCGGAATCTACTGCCTGCCGCACGCCGGAGAAGTGCGACAAAGACAAAGCATCGCCAGTGCAAGTATGACGTCGAACGATCACGAGTTTGCGATCAAAACCAACAACAAGATGAAGCAATTTGATAGCGAAATTCCGCTGGGAAAGTATTCAAGTGCTAACCAGTAATCGTCACGCAATTCTAGTACGGCACTAATTGCCGTTGTCGGAGTATTTTGCGCGCTATCAGCGGTAGTGGGGGGAATGTGTGAACGGGTTGATTGAAAACGCAGCTTGGGTTAGTTTCAAAAGCATCTTTTCTAGTTTATTTAGAAGTAGGTAGGGTAGCACATGGCCCCACTCTCCTATCCCCTGCACCTCTAGGGGGTGCCAGGGGAGTCGAATTAAATTCGTACCACAGTTATGTTTGTGTTTTTGTCCTAGCTTTCGTTTCTAGTTGTTTTGAACTACTTATAGCTAGGGCGTGTCTGCGACGTAACAATAAATATTTGCGCTTTATTCGTATGGCAATTTGTGATTTGAATATTCTAACTACGTATACATTCTAAGGAACACTACTTCAGATCTGGATTCCCGCAATGGTCTACTGCCGTACGCAGTAGACCTCCCTGTTTGCTCACTCGGATAGATCGTTCCTGATAGACGAATGAATATTTTCGAATATTGCAATAAATAACTTGACATTAGTCCTTAACATCTAATTAAACTAAAGGGAACTACAGTTTTGCAATAATCTCCAAAAATTCAGTGCTTTTTTGTTTGTTTTTTTTTTACTAAAGACAGTCGACTTGGCTTCGTCGACTGCGCAGGATCTGAAGTAGTCTACTGAACCGTGAACCAAACCGACTTCAGTTTGAACAATTTCTTTTACTCTGCCCAGCAGGGGGATTAAAAACGACTAGATTCTCTGATTTTCTTTTCGATCCAACTATCCTCGATTTCGCGCATACTAATCGCTAAAACACAAAGGAAAATAACACCTTAATACTGCTACTCTCACTCTCTCTCTCTGTCTGTCTCTTTTCTCTTTCTCCTTCTCCGTCACTCCGGGGTTGGAATTTTTCCGCAATAATACTTTGGCTTTCGACTGCTGCGTAGCAACACGCACTCGTTCCATCTCTCGCTCACACTCGTCCCAAATATCACAGAACACAACCATCGGGAGGGGGAGGCTGGCACCGAAAACAAAATGGCCGTCCCCACTTACAGCAGCTGAACTCGCGATGCCAGATAGTGCAGATGAACAAAGGTGCACAGCAGGGACACCATGTTGACCATGGCCGTCGCCATGTGGATCTTCCGGAAGCGCTTGTGCACGCTCTGGTAGTGGTTGGAGCTGCGCAGCTGTGGGTTCTCGGCTCCGCTGAAGCGGCCGACCTCCTGGCCGACGGTTTCGCTCGACTCGAAGTGATACTTTTGATGCATCAAGCGAAGCATCGGTGGAGCCATGTAGAGCCATACGACGAGCTCAAGCGCGGCGCAAAGGGCCAAGCTGCCGAGCTGAAGCACGACCAGAGGGTCCCAGCTGGTCAAGGCGGTGGTGCGGAGCTCCGGGTGCGCTGTCTGCTGCATCTTGATGAAGGTCAGCAGGGTCACGACGCTCAGGGCGGTTCCCATGGAGAAGTACTTGGGGAAGAGGATCTCCTGAACCCGGCCGAAGGTATGTCGCGGCAGGTTGAAGTAGAGCGCCAGGCCGGACACGAAGGTCATCCACATCTGGGCACCGAAGTGCATGGCGAAGGAACCGAAGTAGGCCAACGATACGAGCACATGGGCGCGGGTTTGTATCTCGGGGCAGGTAGAGGTAGGGGTAGTTACTGCATTGCCTGCGACCGACGGTTGCCCTACTAAGTTGGGCCACAGCACTAGCAGAATGAAGGAGACGAACAGCATCGAGATCGCATGCGATGGTTGCGTGGTATGGGTGAGGATTCTGGAAAAAAAGGAAGAGAACGCATTTCGGTTAGAATTCAGTGACTTCAGAAGCATCATAAATATTGATAGGTCATCGACATACGGTCGTGTGCCGAGGGAAAAAAAAACCTGGCTGCTGTAGAACCCGTAATTACCAGCGGAGGTACAAATGGCGAGCAAGCAGGACAGCGCAAAACTCTGACGTTGAACTCTCGAGTGGCGTACGTGATTTTCGCACTGCCCTCTCCACTCGCACTCTTTCACCTCCGCTTCGCGTGTCGCTACTGTGCATCACTGCTGCACAACGTTTTGTTTCAAGGTGATAACACAGGGATAATTCAATTGACATGTTCGCGATTTGCGTCTGGACTTACTTGTAAGCGGTACTCCTGCGGCATTGCACTGCCAGCTCCTTGCAGCAATCGAACAACTGCCGCGTGGCTTGCGTGGCACCAACCAGGACATCCCGATAGAGCACTTCCTCCTCAACCTTCGACTGCACTTCCGGTTGCACTTTCTCCGGCATTCTCCCGCTGCAGGCCTCTTCTTGCCTCTGCACTGCGGAGAACTCAACCAGGACCCGCTCACCGAACAGCTGATCGCTCAATCCGGTTACGCGCTGTCCCATCTTGTGAAGACACATATCAATTCACTGCACTTGTTCCGCTCAATTAATGAACCACTTTGGGCGATATACAAATAAAAAATCGCTTCCACCAAAAAGTTCTATTCGTTCGATTCGTTTCGCTATGCCTCGTACTGTGCAACGTTCGCGGTATTTCTCTTTCGGTTTTCAGATCGGACGCTTTTGCCCGACTCGGGGAACTGAATGGCCCTGCTCTCGTGCCACCGATCGTATATATAACAATCACCTTTCACCACTACACTCAAACGGGCGGTCCCGCGAAGATAACGCGTGCACGGTTCCGCTCGCTCTCTTGATGTCCGTTTTGCTACCCATGTTCGCACCTATCCTATCCCATCACGCGGTGCTCCATGCTTCTCGCCAAAGCGACGAGAGAGCGAGCGATCCCGAACTGACCCCCCGAACACGGGGAAGGTGGCTGGTTGGCTGGTGGGTGGTGGGTGGGTGTGTTTCGTAATTATATCCGTTTCTCGGGAGTCCCGTGGTCCGCTTTGTCGTCGTCATAGCGATTTTGGATACAGTGCGAATCGAGAATGCATTGATAGAAAAAAAAAAAATCGATGACGTCGACTGGATTCGATGCCGTGTCTGCGAAGACGTATGGTGTGAAGTACGCAACGAACGGGATTGACCGGCTGATTCTGGACGGCGTGCTTGCGTGTGTGCTTGCTGCTGCTGTCTGGTGGATGGTGGGCGGAGAAGACGCACGGAAAAATGTGGGGAAAGGTCTTCATTTTTATGGCTTTATAATTGTGGGGATATTTTGAGAAGAGTCACTCTCTTTTCGGGGTGGTCAAAGCTCAGTCATACTCTTGGTTGGTTCGATATTGATTTGGGGTTCCTTTCTAGTCATTGAACACGCACGTTCGCGATGCTTCCAAATGAACTTGAAACCGGATCTCGATCACTGATGCCCTTGAGTACATTCTGCGAACCAATCATAGATTGAAAAGACAAATGTGACATGCGAGAAATTTATGAGCCTATTATTTGGAATTTGTAAATGCGTGTATTGTAGCGGAAGGCATTTTAGCATAGGTGTTAACGTTTAACCAGAATCAGATAAATGTGCCAAATCTAGGGTGTCGACTACCTGAAAAAAAAACCTGGAAAATCAGGGAATATCAGGGAATTCATTATTGAATCTGGAAAATCAGGGAATCTCAGGGAATTTTATTCAAATTCAGGGGCATATTTTTAAATCACCGAAACTTTTTATTAAATATAGCTGACTTCGCTAATTTAAAACAACTTAATTTCGCGGTGTAGTTTGAGGATGGTTTTCATTTTAAAATTTAAATAGAGTTGCATTTTTGTAAGTTGAGAAAAACTTATTCAAATAAAATGGTATTTTGATGATTTTGCTGATGATATGGAACTACCACTCATTGTAGCAAGGCACCTGTCAATAGGCTGTCCTCGCTGTTCGACGAAGGGCTAAAAACGGATTAGGTAGATCCTACGGGATGATTGAGAATCTCCTTCCAACAGCAGAATCATACAACCGGTCAAAAAACAAGCAATCCGACAGGAGGATGTCCCAAGGAGTGGGGAGAAGAGCTTGCCCTTTATTCACGAAATGTTAAAGACAAGGAGTTGGCATTCCCACTCTTCCATCCATTTCGCTTCAATTAGGTGCCCTGGTGGTCCCTCCCCTTCTCAGTGTTAAAGATTTATACTTGAATTACTACTTAAGCCCTGACCTAATGAATTTTTCCAAGTTAAGCTAGGGCGTCCTTCTTTTTCCTTTTGAAATTCCTATTGAATGCTAGTCTGATGGGATGATTATATTCTCTCCTCAAAATGTGACCGTCATAACTGATCCTACCTACTCTAACTCTTCTGTTGATAGTTTCACCATCGAGCAATTTCATAGCGTTAAATTTTGATTTTTCTTTTCTCTTACATTGACTGTATATAAGGGAAATGGCCTACGCCTATGGATCTAAGATTGGGTTCATCGCTAAAAATCTGCTATTTATCAATTTTATCTACATGAACTACGGTTCTGATGGATATTTTTGGTCGCTATTGAAAATTTAGTCGATTGATGAATTTATGTATGGGCCCAAATTAGGCCGACATTACATCCATTTCCTCTATTCCTCAACTCCCAACTCGGATGAAACGGTTTACAAAAATCTACTACCATTCTGCTAGTTTTCAATTCACTCCTACATCTTCCTCTTTTGGTCAAATTTTCTATTCAGTGCTGATGTTAGACATACTCATCTTTTCTGATTGTTTTGCTTTATTATTGGGATATCTAAACATAATCTGGCTTTTATCATAATGTATACTTAAGTTCACTTTCTGAAACTCTTGTGTGAGGATATTCAATACTGTCTCCATCTCTTTTAAGTTCCTAGCAATAATCAATAAGTCATCAGCATACGCCAGAAATTTCTTTCGAAACATTTAACCCAAAATACCCTAGTCATTTAGTCTATAACGCATATCAGAATTCTATCTATGAGGAAACATCTAAGCCTAAAAGAATATCCTTAAGAGTCTGAACCTTAACTGTATCAACTGCTTTTCTTATATCTAACGCTCTTCCAATACTCTTCTTGCAACAAAAATGTGATCATCAGTTTATCTTTTCGTTGTGAAGCCAGCTTGATGTATTCCTAGCTCTCCTGCAAATTTTATGAGCTACTTAGCAATCCAGTTTGCATAGATTTTAAACATTTAGTTAGTATTCTAGGCCTTCATTGAAAACCTGGTTAGCTCGTAAAATTAATTTATCAGTGAAGTTTTAGTAGTGTTATGTTGCTGCTATTGCAATTTAGATGGAATTAACTTACAGAATAGGGGCCTCATAGCCTAGTCAGTAAAGCTGGAGGCGGCAGGTTCGTTTCTTGGTCCGGTCGAGGGAATCTTTCGGGTTGGAAATTTTCTCGACTTCCCTGGGCATTGGTATTGGCATCAAAAGCTCTCAATTAATAACTGTGGAAGGGCATTTGGAACACTAAGTTGAGAGCACGCAATAAGCTAATATGCGCTAAGCAATAAGCTTGAAAATGCGAATAAGAAGAAGAAGTAACTTTCAGAATGTTGGAGGTGAAAGCGCTGTTTTAACGGTTTCCCACTAAAGGAATCCCGCCACCTTCCCGATGGCAACTCGGAGGCCCCGATGGCGCTATGAAAAAGCGGACTAGCTATGGTGAAGCCTTTCAGTCCTTGTTACTACAGCGTAATCCGAACAGCATTGAAAACTTTTCAGAAGTGGTATACGAAGCGGAAACAGCAACCATCCCAAAGACCAGCAGCGTTCCCTGGCGAAAAGAGCTACGCTGGTGGAATGAAGTACGAATGAATACGAGAAAAGCCGTTAAGGCCCGACGTAAAGCACTTCGCCGTGTAAAGCGCCTTCCTATCGGACATCCCGATCGTGAGGACGCTCTCCGTCACTACCGTGAGTCGCACAATCCATGCCGGCAAGAATTCCGTATCGCCAAACGAACCAGCTGGATGGACTTTCTGGAAGGAATGAATTCGTCATAGTCTTCGGCCGACTTATGGAGGCCTCAGTAGGAAACGGCGCATGACACCGCTCCACGTACAAATTAACGGTGAAGCGGTTGACTCTGCAATTGTAGCGGATGAACTCGGCTCGTACTTTGCCGATCCCGCAGCCATCGAGAAGTACGAATACGAATTCAAGCGGAAAGCTAAGCCTTTGCCGTCATCCATCGAAAGTTTCACTGTTCCTTCTGACGCTAGGAACTCGGACATCAACCAGGCATTCTCCTGGGGGAGGTTCTCAAAAGTGCCAACGATAGCGGTCTCCACACCGAGATCGTCTCGCTGGATATATCGAAGGCCTTCAACAGGACGTGAACGCCTCTCGTCTTAGAGCAGCTTGTCAACTGGGGCCTGTGTGGACCCATGGTCCACTTCATCAAAAATTTCCTGACCGATCGTTCTTTCAGAGTTGGCAGTTGGCAACCCAGCTTTTCAGAGAAAAGACGAGCGTCCCACAAGGTTCATTTATCGCCGTTACCCTCTTCCTTGTGACCATGAACGGAGTTTTCGAAGGATGTTTACATTTTCGTGTATGCTGACGATGTACTTATCGTAACTACCGGCCCAACAGCAGCACGTAACAGGATCAAGGCCCAGGCAGCAGTCTCCGCTGTAGCCAGGTGGGGCAGTGCGGTAGGTTTTCAGCTTTCGGCCACCAAAAGCGTCAAGTTGCACGTGTGTCCATCCCGGCACCGTGTCAGCAGGCCACCTATCAAAGTTCAAAGCCAGCCCATACCACTGAAGGAGACTTGTTGACCGGTCCCTCAACTTCGAGCAGCACATTAATTCGATCAAGAACGACTGCCGCAGCAAGATCAACTTGATCCGCACCATCTCTCGTCTCTACCGGTCTAACAATCGCGACACTCGTTTCCAGGTTGCAAGTGCCGTCATCGATAGTCGCCTACTGTACGGTCTTGAGATGACGTGCATCGCCACCGAAAAGCTCGTGCAGATACTAGCACCAACTTTCAACACTTCCGTTCGCATTGACGAAGCGGGTATTCTGCCCTTCCACCATCGTATTACCGCAGCAATTGCAACGAAAGCCGCTACCTTTACAGCAATGACCTCCGAAAATGACAGGATCTTCCTCCTCGATGAGGAGAACAGACTCCTCCGCATGACTGCCAATTCGGAGCTCCCCCCAGTGGCCAAGGTCCACTGGTACGGAGACAAAAGTTGGCGCATACCTACACCAAAAATCGAGAGTCGGATAAAGAGCAGGTTCAAGGCTGGAGATAACTCTGCAGCGCTGAGGAGAACAGTAGCCGAACTGCTTGGTTCGGACTACCCAACCCATACCCACATATACACGGACGGATCGCTTTCCCGAGCCGGGGTCGGAATTGGAGTAGTCGGAATTTCAGCACCGATGAGTAGCAGCCTACCGCCGAAGCTGCGTCCATCTTTGTTGCCGTTACAACACCCTCGGACCGGCCCATACTGGTGCTATCTGATTCGTACAGCGTGATACAAGCCCTTACATCTGAGATCCCGACTCACCCCTGGATACAGGGTATCGTTGAGGCCACACCCCCCAACACTGCGGTATCCCAGGAAATAGCGAAGCCGACAGCCTGGCAGGGACTGAACCAGCTGGCCCCCGTTACACCGACGAAGTGCCACT